ATATCTCCAGAGAAGGAGACTCCACAGCCTCCCTGGGCAGCCTGGGCCAGGGCTCCGTCACCCTCAGAGGGAAGAAGTTCTTCCTCGGGTTCAGCTGGAGCTTCCTCTGCTTCAGTTTGTGCCCGTTGCCCCTTGTCCTGTCGCTGGGCACCACTGGAAAGAGTCTGGCCCCGTCCTCCTGACCCCCACCCTGCAGATATTTATGGGCATTTCTAAGGTCCCCTCTCAGCCTTCTCTTCTCCAGGCTGAACAAGCCCAGCTCCCTCAGCCTTTCCTCATAGTCCTCTTAGTCCCGGGCTCTCCTCCAAGCCGCCACGGTCCCCACCTTCGCCCACAGCTGGTGGTCCCCGCACCCCGCCGGGCCCAGCGGGCTGTGGGCTGGGTGAGGTTTCCAGCAGGTTTGCGAGCAGAAGCAGCACAAAATCAGAAGCAGGAGCAGGCAGCTCCTGCCCTTACAAGGTGTAGCACGGGTGTGGGGCAGCCGCTTCTCCTGTAGTGTTGCTGCAGCCACAGTTGGCATCCCGAAAGGGTCGCTCTGCCCTTGCTTCGCTGCAAGTGCTGGGAGTTGACAGCCAAATCCTGGTTCCACTTGGCTTCAGCGTGACCACAGTTTGGGCCAGCATCTGGGATGATGGCATCTTCCTAACATCATCTCCATGCATGGTGCCAGTGCAGAACTCTGGGTGTAATTATGTCTTCTCTGAGGAGCAGCCTACACGCTAGTGCAGGTTGCTGACTTTCCCTGGGAGCTCTGGCAGCAGGAGGAGCGCAGGATGTGCAAGATAAACACAGCTGCAATGCCTTACACTGCTTTCAGTTCAAATAAACGAGACTCTGATCTCACAGGCGTGCAAAAGCATCCAAATAAACAGACTTGGCGGATTTTACTCAGACCGGGCTTCCCTTGCTGGAAGCCCAGCGCTGTTCTGCTGAGAACGCGGTGTCAACTCCAGACCTGGGAGCAGGTTTTAGCCCCAAGTATGTGTTATTTCGGGTATAGGGCCGGGCAAGGCAGGTGCAGACGTCGGACCGATGTTGTTTTCTCCCTCGCATCACCGCGCGCGTGTGTTGTACCAGGCGGTGTCGGGGGGAACGGGCTGCAGCCCCCTCCAAAAAACCAGGGTGCTGCTTTTACGGGAGTGGAGCAGTCGGCAGCGTTCCCCTTCCCTGGTGCCTTCGGGGCTGTGCTCCAGCCCACCCTGCATCCATGCTCTGCAGGGAAAAAAAACCAGAGCGCCCGCCGCTCCCTCGGCAGCAAGCAAGCACCAGCTGCGTGCCAGCGCTGGGGTGGCAGGATCCGTCCCTGGGGAGCATCCTTTTCTGTGCTGTTGATCCCTCCTGACAGCGCATGCGATGCTGAGAACTCCCTAACTAATAAACAGAGGTGTCTCCAGTAGCTCCTCATCTTTCTTGAACTGGGGAGCCCAGAACTGGACAGAGTACTCCAGATGGGGCCTCACTACAGCCATTCAAATGAACACATGCCTGGAAGCTAGCGCTGCCCTAGCTGCCTGTGTGCCTGCCGGGAAGGGGAGTGCCAGGGAGGCTTTCCAGGCACACGTCCGGATGGAGCCGAGACACTCACCCTTGTTTCACTCCTGCTAACTGTTTTGTTTGGCAGGGGGTGGTTATTCCACGCAGGGCAAGATGAGGCGGCTGAGGGCATCATCGTGATTTAGCTCCCAGCATGCAGGATACCAGCAGGGTTGGAAAAGTGAAGTGCCACTGGGTCAGGTAGGTCCCCGCAGAGCGGCCCAGTGACCCGGTTTGCTCAGGCAGCTGTGGGAGGTGTGTGCCAGGCAGAGCTGCAAGAGCCTGCATGGGCTGTGCCTGGTTTCATCCGTGCCTGGAAGCGTATTTCTCTTTTCTTTTTTTAACATCAGGAACTTTTCCCAGTTCAGTGCTTTTCAGCGTAGCCAACCAAGGCTTACGACAGGGCTGTCCTCTGCCCAGCAGCCCTGCGGGCTGTGGTCTCCACAGCTGGGTGTAACACCTCTCTCCTCTCCTCTCCCTCGCCAGCAAACCCCGAGGACCAGTGGCAGCGGGAGATCAGCGAGAAGGGAGAGGTCGCCTGTCCAACCTGCAGCGTTATCACCAGGAAAACTGTTGTGGGGCTCAAAAAGCACATGGATGTCTGCCAGAAGGTAAGGACTTGCTTTATTCAGTCACGAGCATACGGATTTTGGAGGGGAATGGAGGTGGGCGTGTGCCACTCGTAAATGCATATTGGTGGTCCTGAAACCAGTTCTGGGCTGCGTTTGACAGAGCACTTGCTAGTCGTCTTCGGAGAGCTGGCTGCCTCGCAGCGATTCGGAGGGATCTGGGCACCTCATTCTCAGCGGTTCTGAACCCCTTTGTGGTCTGGGCCCCTTGCCGTGCTGTCTCCAGCAGAGCTGGGTATTTCTAGTAGCTAAACAAATAGTTTTAAGGCTGGAGAGATTGTTGGGGTTGTCTCTAATGTGGCCTCCTCCAGAGTCCTGGCTGTGGGATTTCACTGCGCGCCGTGCCTCGCATCAGGCCAGAGAAATTGTGGTTGAATGAGAGCACGTCTCAGGGAGACACCGAGCTCGGGGGTGCTCAGGCAGGCTGTCAAGACGCGGGAGTGCGGTAATGGTGCAGTGAAAAATTGTCTCTCTGCCACGCCGCCATCCATCAGAGCAGGGGATTACGTCTTCATCCGTCACCTGGCGCGGTGCAGAGCCATCACCACAGAAAGCCGACGCGGGGATCGATGCCTCCCGCTTGGAAAATATGTGGCTCGGCTTTGATTCCACATTCATTTTCTGTGAATGCCTCCTCAGCCTTTGCCTCCCTCTTTATGGAGCAGTGGGAGGCTGCTCTCCCTTTCAAACCCCGTACTACATCAATGCCAGGCAGAATCCTGCCTCCTCTGACGTCCTCCTGGCTTCAGCGGAGTGGGGATCTTGGCCATCGCTGCTCATATCTCCTGCGCTTTGGAGCATCTCCCGCGGCAGACGGGCTCCACGCGGGCTGCAGGGCCAGCTCCATAAAGAAGCCAGTGGGCGTTCAGCCGAGGAACTGGGGCTCCAGCCCGAGCAGCGGGTGTTTTGTCACCCCTCCTCGGGAGGCTCGATCCCTGCTGGGGCTGGCTGTGCCGCTCCGGGAGCTGGGCTGCTTCGCCGAATCCCTGCCAGAGCAGCCTGTGGCCCAGGAGGACAGTCCCCAAGCTCTGGGGGTGTGACTGCAGGTCCAGCTCTCAGCAGTTCACCTCTGGGATGAACCTGTGGCACGTCCTTAGCACGGCCCCGCCGCTGCGGGCACAGGGGGTCCCCATCAGAAGTGACCCTGGGGTGCAGGCGCCCTCTCGGCTTGCTCGCTGCTTTAATGACTGAAGTGTTTCTTAGCTGGGCAATGGGAAGCGGATGTGCAGGCTCCCCAAACTCTTAAAAAACAATGGCAATTGGTTTCTCCATTCCTTGCTCGTCACGAAGCAGTCTGCCCTGTTTCCTTTGGTTTTGGAAAGGGAATAGGGAAAGGGAACGGCTGCAGCGTGCTTCGGCCTGAAGGAGATGAGGGCAGGTATGTCCTCCCAGCATCCCGGGTGGGAGGGCTTGTTAGAAGATGGACATGGCATGTTCTTCAGTGTTGGCTGGAGGAGTAAACCCCAAATTGGTTGGCATTGCCATCTGACGAGTGAAGAAGCTTTTAGCATCCACCTTGTTAGGATCAAGCACTTGGGTCTGGAGCAAGATGAACCGATGGGAGCACAGGTACAAGTGAGACATTCCCAACTGGCTGAGTTTATTCTTCATGTCCCCAGAGCTCCAGGAGGAGGAGGGATTTGCAGCTCCATCTGCATTCCCTCTCCAGCTCCTAGTCCAGGCTTGATTGAAGGGGAAGTGGTGAAGGTGGAGCATCAGCCAGGCAGGAGGAGCAGGAGCGGCCACGGCCGCCCTGACACCGGCTCCCTGTCGAGACATCCCGTCTCTTGGTGCCCAGAGCGTTCACCTCCTGAGTCCGTAAATTCCAGTACCTGCCCCAGAAAAAGTCATGTTCTGCTTCCTCACTTTGCCAGTTCCCCTTGTACTTAAGCTGGGCAGAGAGGAACCTGATGAGGTTCAACAAGGGCAAGTGCAGGGTCCTGCACCTGGGGAGGAACAACCTCATGCATCAGTACAGGCTTGGGGTGGACCTGCTGGAGAGCAGCTCTGCGGAGAGGGACCTGGGTGTCCTGGTGGACGACAGGTTAACCATGAGCCAGCAGTGTG